TAACCTGTCATAACAACTCCCTTCCAGTGTCTACTGCTTTCTCACTCAGAGGAACTTTGTTCTCTAAAATCAAACTATCAGAAATTTTGCTATTTGAAATGACATGGGTAAGAATGAAACATCCCACTTTTACATAATTTACTTTGATCCAGAGAAGTTGCCTCGGTTTCCAAACAAGGTGCAGAGCTTCAGATAAGGGGTTTTGGGACACAGCATTCCACATCTAAACTTTAGTTTCCAAGGATACGGGCCCCTCGTTCCACTTTGCAGTCCAGATCTGATGTCCAGCCCTGTTTTGCTCTGAGCATATCGCCATGCTAATTTATTTAAATTTTTGTTTAAATGCCTGACCCCAAATCTTATAATTTCCAACTTTCCTCCATGTGCTGTGTCCTTCATAGTAATGGGTCAGTAAACGACTTTGTCAGACTATTGATTTGCTCCTGAGGTCTCAGGCTGATGGGCTAGGACAGAAGTGCATTAAAAGTGCAAAGCATAGTAGGATACAGAAACTGCTTTTGACTGAGTGTTCAGGAGCACTTCAAGAAGGCAGTTGCCTTAATGATTTATTAGGTGTCACTCTTTAACAGTTTATTACAGATTTGAGACCACGTAAACTTTCTCCTTTTTGACAATTCCATTTTTTGATTTTTTTTCATTTTGACAATTCTCAATCTAGCATTAAATATATGTGTATGTGTAATGTATTTACATAAGATCTACATTACATACAGTCCTGTGTCGAGTTTTTTTCACTTTTATGATTTTATATGTAGATTACTTTACTTCCACAAAAGTAGCATCTCTTCTTGGACGGTGGAGTCTGGCTGCTTAAAATTTCACCTGAGTTTTTTTCAATGTCTTGCCTGGTGTGCATACAGTAGATGTTCAATAAATACTTTCCACATTGAATCAAGGAAGCTTTGTGTCTTAGCTATTTCTTTGATACTTTCCCTAAGTTTGAAACCAGCAGATTGTGGTATCTTCATCACAATTCCACCTCTACCTTATAATGTACAAATTACCCTTAGGCAATGAGGCACTGAGCAATTGAAGCTTTTTATAGCTCCGTTTGTCTGCAGTCACCTAAATGTCAATGGATAGATGTGTTTGTCATAATGTGCGGTAAGTGCAAATAGGCCCCCTGTTAGCAGTATCATTAGAGATAAAATAGATGCACAGGAACTCAAAGAGGTGATCAGCTGTCAGATTCCACTCTAAGGAAATAACAGAATGTCATTTGCAGTTGAAAATGTGCAGAAAGAAGTAAATGCACAATTCCTCACCTCAACCTGATTGTTTTTCAAACCTTTGCGTATTTACTCTTGTTCATCCACCACTTCAGTTGAAGAAGAGTGAACTAAACCATCAATTAAAAATAGCCCAGGAAAATCACTGAAGACACTAATAGATTGGAATGTAGCAGCATTGAAAGCACAGTCTCAATTTACTGAAGTGCCTTGACCCTGGGCCGTGCCCTTTATGTAGGGGACTGGTGAAGAAATGGAAATCTCTGCCTCTCAGAGCCTGGAAGGGGGTCTGTGTCATTGATCTACCGATACCGATACCTGTACCGCTAGCATTTCCCCCCATCTTTCTGCTGTACCCTTCTTGGTGGAGAGGCGCTCTCTCAGGGTGTCTCCTCCTCTGGTTGACAGATGATGTTGCTGTTTCAGGCTACACATCCAGACATAATCAAATCTAGCAGCAGAAGAGACTCTCTTCCTGGGTGGTCATTTAATTTTAAGAGAGGAAGATTTCCTGCAAGCTTCTCAGAAGAGCTCTCCTTATGTCTCAGTGATCAGAATTGCCATGTATGTCTGTCCTAAGTGGGATGGATTTCAATGACTGGCTTAGTGGGAGACCGAGTGGAGGAATGTGACTTACTGAAACAAACCTGGCAGTTTGGAAGGGGTGTATGTGCCCACGTGCTTGATTGTTAGATACATGTGCAACCATGTCTGATACACTCAGAGCAGAGCAGGTATGCAAGCCCAGTCTGTCTCAGCCCGAAGCCCGGGTTTGTCTCACTCCCCAAGCTCACATGTGGATGAGGGTTTCCTGCATGTGGCTCTTGTGAAAAACATGACTGGAACAAATCCCAGTTTTTGAGAGATTTGCACTTGTAATTATATTTGGGTTACATAAGTACTAAGATGTGTTCACTGGCTCTGAATGTTAGCCAAGTGGTGCGTGGAACAACTGTAGTCTTGAGGGTGCCCCCCCAGCAAGAGGACAGCAGCATGAAACAATTCAGACTGGTGTGTGTGTTTATAGTGTCCCTCTTGCGCTCTCCTTAGAAGTGCTGGCTACTGAGTTTGGGAAGGTAGACAGATTAAGGAATCCCTTGAATTTCAGGCTAAGGGATATAGACTTTTTTCCCTTCCTGCTCCAAGTAATATAGAGTCATTGAAGATTTTGGCCAGAGGAAGACATGATCCTGATTGTGATTTAGGGAGACTAAACTGTCAGAGTGGATAAGAATTGAGAGATTTATTAGAGGTTTTTACATTTGCAGGAGGTCTCTCAGTCCACTGAGTCTTGTGTGCTAGAAATGCCCATTTTTCCATTTTCTTCACGTTTAGTTTTCAGTTTCATTCTTCTGGGCTGATAGGAAATTCAGTATCAGCCATTCTTTGGCACTCCTGCCTTCCCAAGAATGCTCTGGAATCTGGAAAGATTACCAAATGCCCGGTAGGCCTGGGAAGGACCCCTGACCTTCATTCCATCATGGTCGCACCAACATCCATGAAGGCAGGTGGCCTCCTATGGCTTAGAGTGTGTGAAGCTTTGTGAATTCTGGGACCCTTGTAGCCCAAGGTCCAGGTTCCGTAAAGACACCAGACGGCAGTCTCTGGTGTTTCCTTCTCAGGGTGCTGCCATCAGTACTGCTGCCATCACTGTCCCCTAATCTCCGACCTCTTTTTAAACTTCGAATTCAGTGAAATTTATAGAACTTCTGTGTTGAGTTGGAAGCATTTGGATAAATGGAATACCCATATAACCACATCCCATTGAAGGTACAGGACATTTCTCTCACTCCAGAAAGTTCTTTCCTGCCCCTTTCCAAGCAGTCCTCCTCCTACCCTGAGGTAGCTACTCTTCGGAGTTCTATCCCCACAGATGAGTGTGCCTGTTCTAGAATTTCATATAAATAGAATCATCCTCCAGCTTCTTTCCCTCAACATTTTATCTGTGAGACTCATCATATTGTTGTGTATGACAAGTCATTCTTTTTTTGTTGCCTAGTATTTTTTTATTGTGGAATACTATTTCACTTTTTTTTTAAAAGTCTTTCCCTTCTCTCTTCCTCTTTCCATAAAAGCGTCTCCTCCTTCCCCTTGTTGCTCTCAAAGGCATTAAGTATGTTTTCTCCATTAAAAGCCAGAAAGGACTTTGCTAGAGGCAAGGATGTACAAAGTATTCCGTGTCTTCATGGAACAGAGGAGGGAAAGGCAACATGAAAACACACAAATTGATAGCTCAACAAATTAGCCTGCCCCACGGTCATCCCGGGAAGAGGTGATGAGGGCCTGAGTTAGAGTGGAACATGGAAACAGGGTAGAGAAAGCTGGTGCAGGGTGGCACCCATGGAGGTTGGTACCTCACCAGGCCTGGAAGGACAAGGCTGAGCAGTTTAGCCTGGGTGGTGCCTGACATGATCAGGTTGGGAGTAAGGATGAGTGTTGGTGCCAATAGCAGAACTAGCAGTAGACCAGGTCTAGGATGGAAGATGAGTTAGTTGGTACCTGTTGATTTTGAGGGGGGTATGGAAGGTAACACTGGAAATGCCCACTGGGTAGGTGAAAGTAGAGATCTCCAGCTCAGTAGCATCTTCAGAACTGAGGGTGAGGTCAAGAGTTATACACATAGGAGGCGAATGTTGAAATCATGAAAAAGGAAAGTTAAAGGAGATAAATAGGCAAGGACAGAGCTTTGAAGAATGCTATGCAGAGGGCTCAAGGAAGAGGAGTCAAAGGGGGAAGGAGGGGTGGCAACAGTCTCGGGATGAGAATAGCAGGGTAGAGAGTGTCTTGGGAACTAGGAGAGCAAAGGATAGGGAAGTAGCTGGCAGAAATGCTAAAGCTGCAGGGAGCTGACCCAGAAGAAGACAGAATGGCAGGTCATTAAATTTCCCAACTGGAAGCTCACTGCTGGCTTTTGAGGGATCAACTACAGAAGAGAAATGGGAGTTGAAGCAGGTTGCATGGAGCTGAGGAGTAAAAGAGGGTACCGAGACACAGCCAGTAACTAAATAGCTTTTTTCAAGAAATGTGCACTTAGAGGAGTAAAAGAAGGGCTCAGGGGTAGCAGGAGAATGGGAGGAAAGGCTGGAGGACAGGCAAGGTTTGTGTCCTTGGGAAGCATTGAGCAAATGGCCTGGGCAAAGGAGGCAGGAGAGAGTGGTTTTTTTTTTTTTTCCTTTATTATGTTAGTTAATCACCATACATTACATCGTTAGTTTTTGATGTAGTGATCTATGATTCATTGTTTGCGTATAACACCCAGTGCTCCATGCAGAGCGTGCCCTCTTTAATACCCATCACCAGGCTAACCCATGCCCCCACCCCCCTCCCCTCTAGAACCCTCAGTTTGTTTCTCAGAGTCCATAGTCTCTCATGGTTCCCCTCCCCCTCAGATTTCCCCCCTCATTTTTTTTTTTTTTTTTTAACATATAATGTATTTGTTTCAGAGGTACAGGTCTGTGGTTCAATGGGGAAGCTGGCTGCAAAGACGGAGCCGAGGAGCGGGCGCTCAGCTCGGGGTTGCCATATACTGTGATCTGGGGCACAGTCGGGCCACTGCTCTTCCAGCAGGGACCCAACAAGCAGCAGATCCAGGGAGACTCCCCTTCCTCCCCCTGGAGGAGCGGCGTGGGAGCGCATCGCAGGAATCTGCTGGGTTTGGAGACTCCAAACAGGGTCCTGTGCCAGAGATAGAAATGCTCGGTCACAGGCTGGGTGAGCAGGGGGTGCAGCCGGAAACTGGGGAGACGGGAGTGATTGACTGCTTTTCTCTGGGGGCGCAACGAGGAGAGAGTGTTTCTGATTCAGTTTTCCAGAAGAGTTGTAAGAGGCAGTGGGATGGAAAGGGCCAAGGAATGAGTGAATTAGAGGAGTCCGTCTTCTACTAAAGCAGTGGAGGAGGAGATGATGGGTCAGCCCTTCCTGGGTGAGGATGGAGCATTCCAGCTGCAGTTGCTTGTTGTCAGCATGACATGCTCCTTAAGAGATTTTTCTATTTACTCTGAATATAAACTCTGAAGTTTATAAAATGACCCCTTTAGGGTTCAGGAGGTTGGATTTCAAAGCAATGTATATAGGGGAGGCCTTTTCCAACTGCTCAGGCTAGATGGTAGAGATCACTCTCCCAGGAGACAATCGGTAATGTCTATCATATTGTGGCAGATGGCAGCAAGCCCTAGGTTAGGAACCCAACTACGATGTATTAGCAAGAGATACTGGCCACGTGTCCTTCGATCAGATTAATCAGGGACGGAACTACCGCATAAACAGGTGAGATTAGCATTGGCTGAGAGGCTGGCAAGGCAAACCTGGGACATACTCGACTTTGAATTCAGAAGCACTGCTTATTTGCATTCATTTTCAGAATTATATCTGCAGCACAAAAGGAGCTCCCAGAAGACTGGATGGGCTTCACAATGAATATGATGCTTGTGAGCATGCGGTTTGCTCAGGCTAGGATGATTCTGTAACTCCTTGAGTGCACGCCAGTGTACAGCAAGACAGAGACACTGTGGCTTTTTACTTGATCGCCAGGATCCTGGTTGTGTTCTGGAGGGTTGAAATTGCCAGAAATCTAGCTACCTCTTAAAAAGGATGTTATATTTTTTGAAACCTCTAGCAAGTATTCTCAGTATGGCTACTGTAAAAGGTCCAAATATACACAGGCTGAAACATATGCAAATATATTTATTGACCTTCTAGTTGGAGGACACTGGTCCAAGGCTGCCGCACTCATTCACGTTGTGGTGGCTTCTTCATCTGATATCACAGATTTATCACTGATCCCTCGAGAAATAAAGGGCACCTCCCACCTCCCTTCTCACACCTGTGGATCTTGAGATGTTTTGTCAGTTCCTTCTCTTACCATGGCCTAACCTCAAACTACTTATGGTTGATGCTATACATGGCAACATACAAAAGAATAAACATTGTGTGTAGGAGGCCATCTTTCTGGAAGATTCCTTTATTCAAGGACACTCGTTTTTCTAAATGTTTAGAAATCATTTCCTAAATTCTAACAATGCGCCCTGAGTGAGGGTAGTTCAGGAAGTGGAGGCCATAACCGTATGTTGCCTTCCAGCTCCCACCTTCCTTCTTCCCTCCCACCACCATCCTGGGCTTCTTGCATGTAAACTCGCTCTGCTTGGAGTTGGATGCGGCACAGCACTAATTCCCTGGAAGATGTGCTCTGGGCCTCTGGGAACACATACTCTATGACAGATGGCGGCAAACTAAACCAGCAATTGAAAAAGGACCTCTGTTAGAGGAGCCATTCCAGAGGGGGAGAGGCAGGGAAGACAAATCGCTGGAAAGTGGCCAGAACCATTTGGTGCTCGACATCAATCTGATCAATAAACACTTCCTGAACACCTAGATAGAAGAACCTATTCCAGATTCCATAGGCACACACAAAGATCAGAGAGGCCAACATTCTGTCCTGTGTTTAGGAAGACGGACAGCACACGGAGAGGTGCATGGACAATTCTAGGCTGGCAGAAGTCTGAAGAAAGGCTTATGTAAGGTTGAGCTGAAAATTATAGCCACCACACAATAATATGATAATGCATGTTGATGGCTATGTCCTGGATGATATGCAGACAGTGGGAGAAACAAAATTCTGGGGTTTTGGAAGGGATACCGGGCAGTGCCCTCAATTTAAAGATGAGGAAACTGAAGCCCCTTCTCCACGACTTGAAGTGGTTTCTTCAAGATCAAGGTCACTCAGTTGTTGGGAACCCTATGATTAACAGTACTACGACTAGGAGTACCAATAATAGTACTAGTGATAGTACTAACTGCTGTTATTGGCTAAGATTATAGAGCACTTATGTGTGCCAGCCACTATCCTAAGTGCTTTAAGTGTATTAACTAATTTAATACAGCAGGTTATGTTATTTTCACCCCTGAAATGGTATTCTCACACATGGGAAAACTGAGGCAGAAGAGTACCAGTACCTTGCCCAAAGTTCAGCCAGTAAGTGGTAGAACTGAGATGCACATGCCACAGTTGGGCTCCAGAGCTTGTGCTCTTAATTTCTCATGGCCCCTCAGGCCTCTGACTCCTGGTCCAGTGCTCCTTGTCCTTGGACTGGGCATTGTCAGTGAGGTGAGGTGGCACTGAATGAGGGAGTGACATGACAAAAGTGATATTTAAGATTACTGGTATGGCTTCAGTAGTCTACAGTCTACATACTGTAGACTAGAGAAGAAATGGAGAAGGAACAGCAGAGAGAGGAGTGTCTAAATATACTTGTGATGAGTGTTTGGACCACGGCAGGAATAGAGAAGATTACACTGGACAGGAATGGTTGGTTAGCAGTCATTCACTCTGTAGTATGAATCAGTCTGTCCTGTTGCTTATCCTTCTAGAAATCAGAACTCTATGACTGTAGAAGGAAGGAGTGGAGAGAGGGTACAGCAAAGGGAAAGGGCAAAGGAACAAGAGCAGAAATGGGACAGATACTCATGACTTCCCCATATTCCTCACAGAGGTCCTGATCTTTGGGGGGTGGTTCAGCGTACTTTAGGTAAATGTCCATTGCTCATTAAATGAGGTAAAGAAGGAAGAGAACAAAAAACAAAACAGAGAACAAGAAAGATGCCATCTCTTAGTGGGAAGGAGACCTTAGCTAGTGGGTAAAGATCACATTAAGAGCCCAGCATGGTTTTGCAGATTGGAGTCTCGCTCAGGGAAAGACCCATCTCACTGTCCTGGCAGACAGCCTTCAGCTGTGGAGAGCCTCCTTGTCCAAGGTCCTGGCCTTCCCCACGTGCCCCACATCCAATGACTGGCTGATGCAAGGGCATAAAGGCCAGGACAGAGGTTCAGCAAAGGGGGCCACGGTAGGCCGGGGAGAGGACCCCACAAAGGATCACTGGCTGTGCGAATATGTTCATGGAATGAGGTGTGACTAGATTTCTCAAGATAAAACTCTCATCAGTGAGTTTCTTTGATAAAGAGAAGCAAGAACTGTACTTTGAGAGGAAGAGAACAGACAGTGAATAGCTGTTTGAATTCATGGTAAACTGGACAGAGGAGGCCAGAAGACAGAGACTCTTCTGGATGCTTCTGATTGGTTCTAAGAATAACTGCCTGCGTGTGGAGTCCAGCATTTAAGGGGCTCAGCCCATATTTGAATGCAGAGCTCTCCTTCCGTCTCAGAGTAGCATTTCCATTGGCATGCTGCTGCATAGGCTCAAATGCAGGACGTGAGCAGTTTCCCAACTATCCACCAGATGGTACCTTCCTACCAGAAATTAGGTTTCAGGTTGTGGAACTCCACAGTGTTTTTCTACCCCGCAGACCGGCTGCAGAATCAGACTCCTGCCCTGGCTACTGTGAAAGGAAAGGAAGCTGATGAGAACACGTCTCAGGGTGGGAGCGCTGAAGGGCCGGGTGGGGGCGACTACAGTGTTTTTATTTTCACGAATATGGGACTGAAGCCGAAGCGTCCTTTTTGTGATGGGGAGAGCCACGTGCAGATATGTGGAATCGAGTCCTAGAGAAGTCTCCCAGGGAAGACAGGACTGTGAGTTCAGCTCCCGATAGGCCTGGTCGTAAAAGTCCTCGGTGCCGCCTTGGTGGTGGTCCTGCAGAGTCGGCTCCGCGCTGCTGAGTGCTCTGAAATGTAGCCAGTTGTCCCATAAAAGAAAGCCTCTGTTGGAGACGCTTGCTCATTGTTGAACAGTTTGGGTTCTGAGGCCTGAGCAGCAGCCTCCCCGGGGTGCTTAGTGTCCTTGGAATGGGAAGGCAACTGGTCTTTACTGCAGGGTGACAACCGTGTCCAGGTTTGTCTGGTACTTTGCTCCTCCTGGCACCGGGGTGGTTGGTCATCCTGCCTGCCTGGAACAGTACACACCAGGGACTGGGCTAGACCTTCACACACACGCAGTGAGCTGGGGGATTTGGGGCGGCGCAATAATATTTTCAAATTATGAATCATTTCGTCGCTGTTGTTTTCCTACCAGATTCCTGTGTCCCCTTTCGCCAGCGAGACTTAACGTCAGGGAAGGCAACATTCTGGAGGAAAGGGGTCTTCTCTTGGTTTCTGAGTTTCAGAAGTTTAGGCCGTAGCTGATAGATTTGGGAGAAGATGTGGTAAATAAATGCAATTTCCTCAGGTTGGGGAGAGAGGAGAGAGTGGCTGGGGTGATGAGAGATCAGGCCTCTGAGCAGGGAGACACGTTGACTCTCATCTGCTTTCTGCCAACTGCCCTGGCAAGGATGGGTATGTGCGCTCTCAGGGTGAGGGCCCTGAGCCCCCTTGGCTGGGGGTGGGGAGCAGAGGAGGGGTGTACAGACCTCAGAGAGGAGAGGATTGTGTTCTCACCCTGGAGCAAAGGGCCAGAGAGCTCCCGGGGCCTCGGAGAGGCGCAGAGACAGCAGGGGAAATCTGTAGTCTTGCAGGTACCTCTCAGAGAGTGGACTGCAGCATAGTGCCCCTCCAGACTTGTGTCCACCTGGGGCTTCACCACACGGCCGGATTTGGTAAAGATATCGTCAAGTTAAGATGACGTCATCCTGGATTCGGGTGGGCCCTGATGCGATGCTTTAATGTCCTTATAAGAAAAGGGAAATGTGGACCCAGAGCTGCACACACAGAGGGAAGGTGCCCTGTGAAGATGGTAGCGGGGCCTAGGAACGCCCAGGACTGCCAGGAGTGACAAAGAGGCCAGGAAGGATCCTGTCCCAGAGCCTTTGGAAGGAGCCCGGCCCTGCTGACACCTCGATTTCAGACTTCCAGCCTCCACAACTGTGGGAGGATAAGTAAGTGTCTTGTTATTTTAAGCCAGCCAGGTTGTAGTGCTTTGTTCTGGCAGCCCTGGCCAACGATCCTGACAGGAGTGAGGATGATGGAGAGGCACTTAGCATGGTCACAGCTGACGAGCAGGGAGGTGGGCAGGCCAGCACAGAGACCAGCACTGAGCACCGGATGGGCCCACTGTGGCATGGGACACCTACAGTGGGAGCCCGGACTATGGGCAGTGACATCTCCGATGTCAGGAAGAACGAGACCTAACACAGAAAGTGCATAAGAAAAGTAACGATTACTATTAAACTTGTTTTATTGCTTGGGTTTGTGGGCTAAGATTTGCTGCTCCAGGAGCTGAGGCTTAGGGCGTCGACCAGCTTAGGGCGTCGACCGAGCAGTCCACTGTGACAGTGGGATTCAGGCCTGCCTCTGCTGGCTTGCCAAGCCCTCCTGTCCTTCGTTATCATCTCCGGTCTTCCCTGCTACCTGCCTGACATTATGGCCAAATGGGACTGGGCCCTGTACTCCAAGCACAAGCCTGTACTTCCTACGCCAGCCCTCAGATCAGCTGTACCTTCTCTGTGTCCTGTCTACATCCTCCCTGTTATGCCAGGCCTGGCACAGGAGGGCTTTCCGAGTCTCCCAAACACATGGTCATCTCCTTTTCGACTCTGACAATTGTTTTGGAGTATTTTTGGTGGCAGCCCCCACTGTGTCTCATGCTGCTTTGTATCCCCCCATAACACTAGCATGGGGTATAATCATTGCCAAAATTGCTACTGTATTCCACAACGCACTGTGGACCGTACGTCTTGGTTTGTGACTAAAGCAGGCCCTTTATGAGTTGGGGCATGGCCTCTTGCCTGGGCTGCACTGGTTCAACGGGCAGAAGACTCTGTCATCAGGACTGAAATATAAGCACTTACGGGTGTGATTTATGATTTTCCAAAAAGGTGAAGGAAGAATAAACATTTGGGGCCACTATGTCTGAGGAACTGGTCCACATGCATTGGGGGCGGCTCTTGTGGCCTCCCTAATAAAGCAGAGTAGGATCTGTAAGTCCCTTGGCCTGATTTTATCACCTCACTGACTGCCTTTCACTCTCGTATCTTCCTCTGCAGATGCCTGAAGTCCCCTGAACTGGCCACACACATCTGCATTCTGGAATCAGAGATAAGACATGAGAGGCAAGATTTCTGGAAGGGAAAGGGAGCGATTTACATTCTCACCGAGGTCTGAGTGGCTGCTAGCAGATTCTTTCCCAAGAACAGGTTTCAACTTGGAGGAGGAGGTTGGGCAGGGAGAGAGCAGGGGTACCCTGAGCTGGCTCGCTGGCCAGGGTAGGGGTGAGCAGGAAAAAAGGAGCAATGGGTGGCAGAAACAGGGCCTGAGGACCCAAAGGTGAAGTTCATCTACTTCCTTTTTTTTTTTTTTTGTTATGGGCCCTGTCTGATTCTGACATTCAACACTAAGGAATCTCCCAACTGTTGATTTCACAAACCTAAAAAACCATTTACTGAAAGCATTCTGGAACACCGGAAAGGTTGCCACTATTATTTGGTTAAATAAGGATGTAAAAAATAAACAAAACAAAAACCCTATCACATAAAAGAAAGGATGTTTTAACGGTAAAAAATTGGGAAAGAAAATCTCAGAATAAAGGACAGTCCTTTTAAATTGGATGAATATAGCTTTAAAGGAATAGAAAAAATGACTATCTCCCTCTTCTGTGGGTCCAGGAAAATGTTGGCAGAGACCAGTATCCCAGTAACCAACTGGTTTATAAGAATCACATCCACCCTGATTCTGAAGGCCCCACCAGTTTATAGTTCATGACACTATGCTGCCCCCTGGTGGCCAAAAGGAGTTGCTGTAGCGGCTAAAGCGGGGCGGGGGTCTCAAAATACACTTAGGGCCTCCTCCCAGCAATTACTTGTATGTTCATTTAACACCCACCATGTGCCAAGCGGGGGCCATGTGGGGTGAGGACACATGGAAATGAGAGAACCAGGCCCTCGCTCTCAAGGAGCTTTCCTGTAACACTGATGTGCCAAACAAAAGTTGACAACAATGTTTGGCTTTGGATGTTGAAATGTCGGCTCCCCAGCACCATCCCCCTGCTTGCCAGAGGCTGCATCATGGAACCCAGTCAGCCCCTCAGCGTCAGAGCAGGCCTGTCACTAGGGTCCAGGTGGCCACCTAGAGCTTTATCTCCAGCCCTGCCCCGAAGCCAGGGCCCGCATGCGCTGATGAAGCTGGAAGGTGGCGGGTCCCCCACAGGGCGTTTCTGCTCTCAGCTAGCTCTTCAGCAGTCTCACTCCTACCTATTAGGCCACCCCTGGGGCAGGCAAGCCTACATTTTCCATGAAGTCCTTCCATGCCTACTCCAAACCCACGAGGACCTCTATGACCTCAAGATTCCTCTCTACCATCGTTTCCTCTTAGTTTTATTTTTCAAGTAGACAAAAAAGTCCCTAATGGTTGAGGCTCTGTTTTAACAGTTTTCTAGCCATCTCCCCTTCCCAGAGTACATCCTGAAGCTCTCAGTTTTCTCCTTTAATATGCAGAGAAGCTCCCTACCTCCTTTCACATATTAGGGCTACACTTACGCCTCATCAAAATATTTTTGTATCAAAAATGGGAAATCGTTAAGTCAGTTTAGGCTAAGTTGTTTGGCTGTGACAGACAATCCCCAAACCTCTACAGCTTAAAATAACAAAGGTTTATTTCTTCTTAATGCTACATGGCCCGTGTGGATCATTTGGGGATAAGGTTGCCAGAATTAGCAAGGAAAAATACAGGACACCCTCAAATAATTAGTAATTTTTTTTTGGAGTAAGTATGTCCCCCAAAACGCACACTAACAATTATTATCATTTTCTGAACTTCAAATTTAACTGGAAATCCTATAATTTATCTGGCAATGCTACTTGGGGGCTCTGCTGCTTGTCCCCATTCTGGACCCAGGCTAACAGTGCCTCTGCTATTTAACATCACAGAAAGAAAGGGGATGTGGCCATTTGCACACTGGCTCTTGAAGTTTTCTTCTGGAATATATAGCATTTCCAATCATACCTTTTTTTTGTTTTGTTTTGTTTTGTTTTGGTCAAAGTGGGTCATTTGGTCATTCCTAACCTCAAAGGGGTTCTGCCATGTGCTCAGAATGGGAGAACACCGGGCTATTTGTGAAAAGCCCAAATCTCTGCCCCAGTTATATATTCTGGTAACAGCTGCTAAGAAAATACTACTTTCTCCATCTTATTACAATAAATTATATCAAGTGTAATCTTTATTCTTGTGATTTCTAGCTAATGGCTTACTATTGATTTCTAGTAGCAGAGAAAGCTTTCCTTACCCATTTAAATACATGGAGACAACTAAACGCTCCCTTTCAACTTTTTTTCTCTGCATTAAAGACCTCCCCATGCCTCCCGTATTTTCTTTGGTGTAGTTTCCAACCCTTTACCATCTGGTCACTGTCTACTTGGTTATATCTGACTGCGAAGTGAATGCGATGGGAGAAAAACAAAACAAAACAAGAAAAGGTGGTTTCTTGTAGGGATAAGCCAAAGATGACGTTTTGTGTAACCCTTTGTTTTTGTTCCCTGTATGGCCTACAGAAGATCAGCAGTTTTTCAACCCTCAGCAACAACAGAATCACCCAGAGAAACAAATAGGTGAGGTACAGGCTTCTCCACCAGGGATTCTGATTCAGTTGGCCTGGCCTAGGCCTGGGTGTCTGGACTTTGTAGCAGTTTTGTTCCACTTATCTATAGCTACATAACAGACCAACCCCAAATGGAGGAGCTTAAGTCAAAAGTATTCATTTTATTATTATCTTTCCTTGTCCTTGGGGCTGACTAGAATCAAACATATAAGAAACCAACTAACATTTTAAGAGAATTGTGTGGGCAAAAACGCTACCAGCTTGGAGTAAAAGAGACTGCACCCATTTGATACTTAAAACAAACTTTGCCAACCCCCCAACATTTTATAGGTTGGGAGTGGGCTGAGAGCTCTGCTTAACCCCAAAGAGACCATATTCCTTTTTAGATATAGCAAAGGAGGGTAGTGAAAAAGGAAGGACCTCTCAGTGGACAGAGCCAAGGACCATGGAGAACAGTGGACTGGGGAGTTTCTCTGGGGGGAAAAGAATCCGTGGGAGCTAATCAAAGAATGTGCCCCTCCCCTCCCTTAGGACAAGGGGCTGCTTGTAATGTCTGCTTGGAGGGACTGGAGGGACTGTTTATACTCCCACGCTGCCACCTCCAAGTGGGAGTGTTTATTGTGTTCCTGCCCCTAATTGCATATTGAGTTTGTCTGTGGGAGCAAGTGACTTACTTAACTTCTGAAGCGTCCCCACCTAAAGGAGGCACATCCAAACTTGCTAGAGAGCTGCTTGTGCCTTATGCATGGATCCTGGACTTTGAGTTCAGAATGGTACCTGGAGGGGAGTTTGACATTGTCTCTCTCAGGGAGGGTAAGTGTCCGCTTACGTGTGCAGGGAAAGGAACTGCATGTATGGTGTACAGCATACAGATGGTGGTGGATTATGTTCTTATTCACCAAATATTGTGGTACCCTTCTCTGCAGGGCCTCTCCCTGTGGTGGGAGGGCTTTACATCCTGATCCTTTGGTATTCAGTGTGACCATTTGATTTGCTTTGACCAATGACATGTGTGTGTTAGAGGTGACAGGAGCCGCTTCTGAGCAGAAGGATTAAGAACCCCGGTGTTCACTTTTCCCTCTGCTATGACAACTGGCGATATTCTAGATAGAAGCTGCTTTTCCAGCCTTGGTCCTGGAGTAAGGATGTTGCGGAAGAGACCCACAGCTAACCCACAAAGAATGCAGCATATAAAAAAATTAAAATTCTGTTGTTGTGAGACCCTGCATGCTAATACTAATGAAGAGGGGTTGGGCACCCTGACAACTCTGAGCAGCCTTGGGTCTCTCTTGCATGATGACTACCAACTGCAGAAGAACACAGCCTTTTGGCTGCCCAGTTTTACTGTCCTCTCTGAGGAAGACTGAGTCCCTTCACATTTCAGCATGCCTGCCATCAACAGTAGGTTTTGGAGAGCATCCTGGGAAGTGCCAGCCTCTAGAGAACCTCCTGTTGACCGCATTCATCTCTGTGGAGCAGAGACTGTGGGAAGACCTTGGTATTCTAGGTTCTGAGCTAATAGAAGCTGGCTGGACACAGCCAGATATTTCAAGACGGTGGCAAGTCAGAGGGTCCTTCCGTTCTTACCTGCTGGGGATTTCTGTTGCCTTGGTGACATCTTAGTCTTGGCATTCTCATTACATGATGAAGACATTGGTGGTGACAATGGGAGGGATGGGAAGATGAAAGAGGTGGTACCCGTAGCTGGTTCTAGGCAGCAGAACTGAGGCTCAGGTATTGAGGTGAATTAAAGATGCTTGTCCCCTGAAATCGGGATCAGCCTCAATCATCCAACAGAACCAGTACACCAATAGAATGTGGCTAAAGCAATAGTGTATGCCTTCCAAAGCTAGGTCAGGAGAAGCCTCGCAGCTCCTGCCTCGGGCTCTTAGAATGCTACCTCAAGACTCCAACTTACTGTGTAAGAAGTTTGGCTATCCTGGGGTCACCATGTTGGCATAGTTGTATTCAGGTGCTCCAGCTGACAGTCCAGCTGAGCCCAGACTTCCAGCCAGTCCTGCCAAGGTCCCCAAAATATGAGTGAAACTGTCTCAGGCCCTTTAGTCCAGTCAACTCACCATCGAAATACCACAGACTGACCTCAGTTAATGCTGATATGCTAATAACTGGCCTGCTAAATATGCTAAATTTGGCCTGAATTCCAGACCCATAAAATTATGAGATATAATAAAATGGTGTTTCTTAAGACAGGAAAATAATGGAACAGATACACATGCACTGACTACTCACACCTTGGTGCCTGGTTTTCCTTTTCTCTTAATATGGATCCTTCATGTTGCATGCCTGGATGCTCTAACTAGATTTCACGAGTTCGGAGGCATGATTAGCCTGGGATCTCCACCTTCAACAGGGATTATCCAGATGAACTCGTCATCTAAACAGGGTTTGCGTTACCCTGAGGGCCCAACTTTGTTCTCAGCTTAAGTCTAACAAGTAATCAATCTAGTGTTTGGTGAGTACCTCCATGGGGAGGGAACTATACTGGATGGTAATGTATGAGGTCTTGCTACAGAAGGTAAAACTGCTCACTGTGGTTTAACACTCACATGCTTAATTAATTTTGTTTCTTACAGCTACCTTGTGAGGTAGGCATTATTTTATTATATGAACAAGTAAATTGAGGTCAGGCTGCAGAAATAGTAAGTGCCAGAGATGAGTTTTGAACATCTAGCAGGCTTATCCACCAAACAGGCTACCATGGATGTTAAAGCCTTATGAGACCATGGGATGTTAAAGCCTTCATTTTATAAATGAGAAGATTGAGGACCAGGAATAGGGCATAGTATCACTGCTGCATTCTATCACTAATCACGAATTCTTTGGCCAGTACAACTCCATCCTGGCCTTAAATGGTTTCTAGAGTGCAGGCCAAAACCATGTTGAGTGAGTGTCTTTAGAACTATTGCTTTAGGGAGGGAGGTAGAGGGAGGTAGAGGAGATGTTGGCACTGCCCTTTCTTGTATGTTCCCAGAGAATGCAAGCCTTTGGTTATCCTCCTGTTTAGCTTCTGGCCGAGAAGTGGGGGCTATAACTTGGCCAATGAACAGTTCATGGGCCCAAAGCGTTGTATTGGTTTTATGGGCTTTTCTTTGGAGAAAGCATCCTCCATGAAACCATCCATCCCTGTGGTTTGGGATCAGTCACAGAGAGAGTTCCATTTTTGCTTCAGAGCATGGAGAAACAGAAATAAGTCAGTGGGGCTGTTCATGAATCGGAAGTTACTCAAAAGACCGTTCCTGGCTTGTCCTGGATCTCTTGGTCTGCTGGAATGGCAAGATCCAAGCCAGTACCCATCAGCCACAGTGGGAACTGTGAGGAGGCTTGTGCAGAACATGAAGTATTTACAAATGGAACAGGGACCCTGTGTGACCCTGGAGAAGTCCAGATGGAGTGAGTAACTCTAAGTTGAAGTCTCTCTGGAGGTTAAGTATTTATGAAGCACTTTGCACCCACAAGGTGAATGTCAATCATTTATCATCCAAACTCACAATATCACGGTAACATGTAAGTTTTTGTATTATGGCTGATGACCCAAACTTGAACTACTGCCTATGAGACAGGGGATATTTTCACGCACTTGGGAAATGTTTTTAATGCCATTGTGAAGCAAGATCAGGAACTTTTGAACTAAATACCTGAATCTTGATCCAGACCCATCATTACCATGCAAGCCTATAATTCTCTCCTGTGGCACTTCGGTGCTGGCTCTCCTGTTGTCGGGCAGCAGTGAAAGGTGAATTCTTTGATATGAATCCCTGACAACTCTTTCCTCTTTATTCCACAGCGTTGTGATTTGCCTTTTGTGCAGCCCTTTTGTTCTGAGATGACTAGATGACATATTGGGATGTTGATGATTTTGAATATGTGTATGGCTGAGAAGATCACACCAATTAATTTTCATCCAGAATTCAAGGTGAAAACTCTTTGGATTGTGGCAGTTGAAGCTGTTTGAAAAACTAGGGACTGATTGTTTTTTTGTGAAATCTCCAAGAAGCCTCCAGGAAGGCATAGCTATATCTTAGTTCTCATTCAACTGTTCATATGACCCCACTCACGAAAGGCCTTCTCTACTTAATCTATCTTAATCTCTCCAATTGTTTAAAACCCTATTCTACTTTTTGGCTAGAATTATTGACCATAGGATCTAAAAGGATTTTTATAGGTCATTTGGTCAAACCCTCTCGTTTTACCAATGAGAAAACCAAGATTCTAAGAGGAAGACTAGAATCCAGGCATTCCAAGTCTTCCTTCCATACCCTGTTTCAGAATCCTGTGGTGTTTGATGTTGTTAAATGTTTTTCCCATAGCTATACAGAATGATTTTTCACCTTGGATTTTTCTACATTCCCCAACATGCACTGCACAGGACTCATCCACAGCCAGTCAACAGTTGACTGTTAATGACCACCTGCAGTGCTGTGCTGAGAAGAACTCAATCAGATCTGCTCACGGCTGGCCCTCTCTCAATGGTCAAGTTTCTCCCCAAAAGTGACCTCTGCAGAGAGGACTTTAGCCACCCTAACTAAAGTGACATCCCTCCCCCATCCTCTCAGTCATACTCTATAACCTTTCCTTGCTCAACTGTATTTCTAGCACCTCTCTTTATCTGAAATGATCAATCTTTCTTGTGCATTGCCTCTTCTCCTACTGGAATGTGAACTCCAAGAGGGCAAGGACTTTGTTTCTCTCATCCACTACAATGTCTCTGTGCTTTTTAGGGTGCAGATGTGTAGGAAAAACTCAGTAAATATTGGTGGAATTGATGGCCAAACGCTGTATTGATTAGTGGTGTCTGCCATAGTCAATGGATAGACAAGTCATGATGTTAGTGCCAGGCTTTTGTCATGTCATCATAGGGTTGGGTCATTGGACAACCAATCCTGGATGACAAACTGGCTTCTTCCTGACATGCAGCTTGATTTGGCTTGACTAGTCATTAGGTACTTTGGAAATAGGAATTTCCTTTAATCACCAATTAAGAATTTAAAAGGAGAAGGGCACATTTTCTGCTGTTATCTCCTTCCCTCAAAAGTATTATAGTGTCTTATTGATCACAGAACTTCTATGATATTATGCAATTCTTCCCACAGCAAATATTTATTCATTGACCACTTGTGTTTTTTCAGTGCCATTTTAAAGGGATTTTTGACTTTCCTATTAATCTAGAATAGCTGCACCACGGTACATGGTACACAGTGCACATTGGTGTGACCAGTGAAGTTTCAAGTGTACAAAGCCATGAGCAAGTTCAGGTGACTATCCAAATTAAACTGTTTTAAAGTAAGGTGAGCAGCATCCATTACCTTAGCCCTGAATATTGGCTGTTCTCATCCATCCTTTCTTGGAAGTCAATATTTGAAATAGGCTAGTGTAAAGCAGGAGAGGCTTGGGGAAAAACAAACAAACAAACAAACAAACAAAAACCAAAGAGAGATTTAGTGTTTATATATAAAGTTACAAATTCATCTTGATTTTTTTTATCTCTTTTTAAAGAATTGTGGTATATATGGAAACATTTGTAGTAGGTAGAGGTTTTTGGAAATTGGCTCATTTTTAACCCAATCGATACTGTTATTTCATGTCAAAAGCAAGATATGTTTCAGTGCCCTGGTAAATCTGATCTGATTTAATATTCCCTAGGACTCTGGAGTTGTATACCATCTCTACTCTCCTAAATTTGATGGTGTCAATATGACCTGACATTTAATTATTTGCATAGCCTATTTAAAATTAAAATAGCAACAGGCACTCAGTTCTTTTCAAGTTTTAATACACTCTCCCTTTAAAAATATATTTTTCATAAATTACACTGCTGTCTGGCAGGCCATCACATTCTTCAGTTCCTGTAATAAAAGGGGAATGGTGCTATGTGAGTGTGAAATGTGAAACGTGGAGAAGAACACCGTGGTTAAACAAGAGCGGACACTGATCAAGTCCATTAATCAAAGTGCCTTTTAAATCTCTGCAAGTTGAGTACTGTAGCATCCAGGGATTTGATTAAAGAGGAAATATAAAATGGCAGAAGAGGTCCAGTAGCCACCTGGGCAGGTCACATCTCAGAGCCCCTGATAAAAGGATGTTGCTTCCGGTGGGGTTTGTTTTCCCAGGGTCATTTTTTTGGAGTTTATTTGCTAAGGAAGGGTGGGTTTATTTGCTGAGGAAATGTGAGTTTATTTGCTAAGAAAAGCTCCAGTGTTTCCTTCTCTTGGGTATTGGAAAATCACCAAGTCCATATTACAGAAGCTTGCAAATCTCTTCAGGCCAGTATCTCATGTCTTTCCATCTTTGGATTACCCTGATTCTCCTGATTTCCATGTATCATTATTCCCTCAATTCCAATGTCCCATATCCATGACCACAAGGATTCCCAAGCACTTTTTTTTTGCAAGCACTTTTGAAGCATATTTTAACCCTAGAGGCAATGTCTATTTTCATTGGTGCCACCTGGTTATTCTTTGATTTGTTCTTCATCTTGTTAATCAACTCATTCAAAAATATTGAACAGTTATAGCTAAGCTCAAAAATACAAGTGTGAAGAATGGTAAGAAGACTCCAGAGCTCTTCTCTAAGTGCTTACATCATGGAGGAGAGAGAGGTCCACAAAATATGGCGAGGTCTGGCTACCCCAGAGGCTATACGAGGTACAACAGGGGCAAGTAGAAAGGAACTCTGAACTCTCTGGGAGCGGTGTCAGGGAGTGCTCCCCTGGAAGTTCTCAGGTGGGAGAGGAGCTGGGAGTCTGGGAACGGGAGATCCAGTGAGAGTGAATGCATGTGCAAGGATTAGAGGTGACGTTGGAAACCTGGCTTGCTCGGGAATAGCAAATTTGGCAAAAGTGAGTGAGAATGAGGTGTGGAGGTGTGGGCAGGCAAGCAGGAGCCAGGTCATAAAGGATCCCTGTTCCAGGGGATAATGGGAAGCCATCCCAGGGTTTTCAATGGGTGAAGTGTGTTAGATTTACATGTTGGAAAGACCATTCCTGGGGCAACATGGACAGTAGTTGGGAGTCAGAAGAGATTTGAGTGAAGGAGGAAACTAGGAGTTAAGCTTTAATCTGGATGAGAAATGGCTGGAGCAGGAGGGAAGAGGAATGGGAAAAGGAAATTTGGGACATGTTCTAGAAACCTGCAGGACCAGTTTGAGTTAAGACATCTGGTGAGAAGGAAGACTTCAACTCAGTCCAAGGCTGCTTTTACTCTGCTCATAAAACCTCAAGTAGGCAGATGATATGCCATTTGTGACCTACTATTGACTCTCTTGCTTCTAGAGGGGTCCTGTATTTTGGAGGTTTTGGCGGTCCACTTCAGTGAGATGTCCACCAGGACAGGGAGGCCAAGGGCTGTGGGTTCCGTGGCCTGGCCACATCAGAACCTAAACCTCTGTGATAGTTCCACACAAGGCAAGTCGCACCTGTCATGCTAAGCTCTGGATTCTGAGTCCTGAGATTCTGGATTGAGCAATTTCCCCTTTTCTCTGCCAGTGCTTCAGGGCCTGAACACCTCTTACGTACTCTGTGTCTTTCTATGGGCAGGAGCTGCCAAGGCTTCTGATAGAAAATGAGTGCTTAGCCATTATGGGCGAAAAGAAGAGTCTAGGCCATCTGCTGCTCGTCTGTCTTCCAGCACAGGTAAATGGGTGGATGGTCGTGCCATGCATCTCCCACAGTGGTGAATATTGTGAAGAAGCAGAATTGGAGAAGGATGAACACTTCAGGGCCTGTGAGTTTGAACTGTTTGTGGGACTTAGGGGAGATTAGGTCTGGAACTGGAGTTTGAAGCTTTTGGGACATATTTGAGATTTAAAAAAAATGGGATGAAAACCATCAATGTGTATGGCATCAGGACAGAGCCCTGGAAAACTTTTGTGTGTAATTAGGAAAAGAGGAGTGTTATGGATTGAGTGTTGTACCCCACCCCTTCCCCATTCATATGTTGAAGGCCTAACTCACAAAGTGATGGTATTTGAAGATGGAGCCTTCAGGAGGTAATTTGTGTCATATAAGGTCCTACAGGGGAGGCCTTCAAGATGGCATTAGTGGCCTTATAAGTAGAGGAAGAGAGAGATCTCCTTCCCTGCTTGCATGCTCTGAGGAACGTCCATGTGAAGAGAGGGGGTAGGTGCCATCTGCAAGCCAGCCAGAGAGCTCTCACCGGGAACTGAATCAGCCAGCGCCCTGAGTTTGAACTTTTAGCCTCCAGAACTGTGAGGAATAAAGGTCGGCTGTTTAAGCCACCCAGTCTGTGGTATTTGATTATGGCAGCTCAGGGTGACCGAGATAGGAGCCCCTGGGAAAGAAAGGGAGGACTGACAGGATGCTAGAGGGAGAGCATGGGGAGGGCTTTGTGGGGTGAGCATCAGGCAAGGAAAAAAAAGAGCTGGGAAACCTCTGAACTGGAGGTGTCTGGTGGACTCTGTCAGGCTATTTTGGGCTTGATGGTTGGTGTTGTCCATGTGTGTGTGGTATATGGCGCTTTTGGGTAGAATAAACCTATTAAGAAACACTATAAAGAGTGTTTCTTACTTGATTGTGCCCATTCTGATCATCAACAAATTTTAATTTTACAGATTTTTTTTTTCATATTGCAGTGGTAACAACTATTTATTATAAGAAAAAAGAATTTAGGATAAAGAAAAAACATAAAGAAACTTGTATAAAATTATTATCTAAAAAAACTTCTTTAAAATCTCAGTTTAGAGTATTCCCTTCCTTTGTCCCTTACTCTGTCTTTCTTAAATTTATATTGTATAATATTGTATGAATACAATGGGATCATATTGCTTTGTAACCTGACTTTTTCAACCTGATGAACCCATTCTATGCCAATAAATATTTATCCATGGAATAATTTTGTAAATGGCTACAATCAATCTCCTATTGTTGGATATTTATTTATTTTAAAAAAATTTTAAATTTTAAGTAGGTTCCACAGCCAACATGGGATTGAACTCATAACCTCAAAATCAAGAGTCACATGCTCTACCCACTGAGCTAGCCAGGTGCCTCCTATTGCTGGACATTTAGATTGCTATTATTAATGTTGGTGTAATGACTATCCTTACAGTCAAAAATTATTGTACATTCTTAATTATTTCCTGTGGTTAACTTCCTTAAAGTAGAATTGTAGGGCCAAAAAGTATTCAAATTTTTAAGAAATCACAGCAGAGTCCAGCTGTTTGGGTCCTGTATGTATGAAATATTGAGAGAATTTCTTTAAGTCAGAATTCATTGACAGTGACTAATCCATCACCATTTTATTGTATAGTTTACTTTGTATATTTATATAACTTGAAAACTAAAATACTTATAGTGAATTCTGGTGACAAAGTTTAGTTCTTTCACACTGAGTAAGTGGCTAGAACCCTTGACCAGTGGGACCAAGAGAACAGTCCCTCTTTTAGACTATTTTGGATATTCTTCTGCTTATTGCATATTGCGCGTATCTGTGTGAAATTCTTAATAATTATGTACTTGTCCAAAGTTCTGCTTTAAGGTGCTGACTTTATTGTAACTCATTCTTTTTTAAGATGTTACTGCTTGCTAGTCACCTGTTTTTCTACTGATGAGAAATGGTGTATGAGGTATGTCCTCTGACTTTCTAGTTTAAAAGTTCTGTGTTCTCTGAGGTGCTGAGTAGTTCTAGGAGCCATGGTGGTCGAGGGGAATTTAAGTTTGTTCTGTTGGGAAGAGTTTCCTTCTGGGTGGTAGTCAGAGCTGAAAATAGATCTTTCATTGAGCTGTACTGCAGTGATTTCTCACGTAGGGCTCAGCGCATGACTGTAGAGCCGCTTCACTCCTTCATGCAGCGAACACTAATCAAGGCACCATTTGATGACAGTTGTGAGCAAGACAGACAACACCTCTGTCCATGTAGGCTTCCATTCTTGATGGGAATTCAGACAGAGAGCAAATAAAAAATAAGATAATATCACATAATTTTAAATGTCATGGTGGCAGCAGAAGAGATTGATACAATAAGTGTAGCTGGGGTAATGGTGGTAGGAATGCATCACTGGGTTGGGTGAAGAGGTGATGTTTGAGCTGAGAATTGAATAATGAGAAGGGCCAGCCTCAGGAAGATCTGAGGGAAGAGTGCTTAGTGGAGAACATAAGTGCAAAACTCTCCCTCAGCACCGAGTTGGTATGTTGGAGCCACAGAAAGAAGGTAAGGGTGTCTGGGGCAGAGTGAGTGCACAGTGGGTGGTCAGAGATGAGGTGAGGGGCAGGTAGGGAGAGGTGATGTGGACCCTTGTG